ACCTTCACTGGAAAGCAATGTGTCAGGATTAACACAGGTTCACCAACCTACTATCCTTATTACTGAAGACTGTATACAGTACATTATAATGTACTACTTTATAAGTAAAATACTTCAAGCTCTCATATTATTCACGTCTAATAATCTAATTAAATCCGACGAACAAAAAATTCGCTACCTGTCCAGCTCGTTACACAATATTCAGTGGTTTTCACATCTTACATGATTTTACTTGAGTTTACATGAATTTATTTGATACCAAGTCAGTTATAAACTTCAAGTAGACGATAAACAGACGCCTTCGAGTTTTATGAATCACGAAAAGCTACTTTTAGGTAGACAGGACATTTAAATTACGAATCTTCGACGCAAACCAAAACTTAATAAACATGGAAACTCACACTTAAGCCGTAACGCATTCTTTTAGAAACAGCGCTTCCGATTTGTACATTGAGTGTATCCTGAAGACTAATCTCTGAACGATGACAATGAAAATTGTCTACTCTTTGACATTCATTTCTCAAAGCGAATTGAAGGCTCAGTTAGTCTTACAATGCTTATTGGTTAGGTTTCGATAGGCTTTCAAAAGACATTGTGCAGCTAGTTAGATCATGATGATCATTGACATACAATTAGTCCACGAGACTGTTCATTCGCTATTCAAAGTTTCTGTTATCTCATTTAATTTTTCTAATCGTTGAATTAAATTATCGTCCAAGTTTGACTTCGAATTGCCTGAGATATTACTGGAATGACATCTCTGCATATTCCACTCCTTATTGTCTTTCAATCAACTACCAGCATCACTGGACTCCAAAAAATTGAACTGGAACTTGATTTTGTCGCGCCGTTCAATCAGGAAGGTTGTGTTTTCCAGGGACGGCATAAGGCAAAGCTATAAGTTCTCGAGCATACGTTGCGTTTTACGAGTACACAGGAACTGTGTACGAAATTACTATGTCACGCATTAGTCACACTTCCTTTATAAGTAGAATGGTGCATGCTTGTTTCGAACATGGCAACTGAACTATGTTGTTAGTGAATACGAATTCATGATGTGTGTATTAAAAAAATTGTGAATAAATATTTGTAAGCCGAATCTGCATTCAATGAAAAAATTATAAACACAGTTCTAATGAGTATTAATGATTGATTTCTCAATAGTGCTTACCGATTATGTCCTTATCGGATGTACATTTTGAAGTGCCACTATAATTAAGAACGTCAGATTTCATAGTACTAATTAAAGATTTTGAATTGGCTTAGTTGATGCCTGCAGCTACTCTGCAAATACTTGATGACTAGGTAAGATTCCAAGAGGGATAGAAAATGAAGAGCATTGTTTACAACAAGTAAGGCACTTATAGGAAAATTCTCTCAGCTTCTAATCCATCGACGTATTGAATTCGATACTCATGAGGAAGTTAAACCATTTATTTCATGATTGATTTTTTTGCTGCGCAGACATTCACTTGCACTTTGGGTAAAATAATGTAAAATGGACAAAGTCGTAGTACATTTTTAAGTGGAAGATAAATGTTTGTAAAAAGAACCTTAGTCAGAGAATGACCGAAAGTTACTAATTAGGACAATTTTCTAAATTATATATACACTATGCTTCCATTGTTTTAATTTTTCTTTAGGGCAAGCATTGTGGTTCTTGGCTCTGGAGTTTATCGTATTGGCTCTAGTGCTGAGTTCGACTGGTGTGCTGTCGGCTATGTCAAAGAACTTCGACGCCTGGGATCGAAAACAGTCATCATCAACTGTAATCCCGAAACTGAATCAACTGAATTTGATATGTGACCGCTTCTATTTTTATGAACTATTCTGATGTTTGAATTAACTAATTATTCTTTTGACTTATTGACTGCTCGATTTCGAATTCTAAATACAATATATTCGTTTGTGCTTATGTCGTAGTTCTTGATTCAATTGCGTTAATTCTGAGATTCCTAGTTCACACGATAATTTAAATACTTTCAAACATTACACTGGCGTCACAATGGAGCCTGCGATGGAAAATTTAGATATGCATTCAACTTATGAAGCTTTTGAGGATAACTTTCGAAGTTTCGAAATTTGGGCTATGACAAAGGAAGATGATAAGGTTGTTAATATTGTAACATGTTTCGCCACATTCATTGGAAAAGAAGCATATAGCTTATTAAAAACTCTGGCTTTACCGGAAAAGCCCATTTCGCTTTCTTATACAATTCTCAAAGATCTACTGCTAGACTACGTTCAGTTGACAAATTTCGAATGTCGTAAAAGAGAAAGATTTTGTAAAATGATTCATGAGGATATAAAAAATTCCACTGCATTACGTCACCCCAACCCAGTGCATACTCAAGGTTATGCAGATAATTCATTGAGGAGTTGTGATGCAGTTCACGAAGATGGGCACAAGTTTGATCAGTGTTTGTCCTGTGGCAAATCCACTCTTTTAATTCATGTAAATTTCGTAATTCTAAGTGCTTTAAATGTAGTGATATTGGACACATTCAATCAGTCTGTAATACTAATGTTCATCTTACTGCAACTAATGTTAAGTTTTGTAATTCTTATTCTACTGAGTCGAGTATTAATAATGATCATTTATCTTTATCAACGATTTTAAAAGACAGTGTAGAGTCATATAACAGTTCAGCGTTAAGTGAAACTCAGAATCCTTGCAAAACAACGGTTTCTAATCAATCAATTTTTCAGATTTCTCATTTTATTGTACCAGATATGGCTTTTCCTAATGATCCACCTATTTCTGACGAAATTCCTTGCAAATCTGAAAAAAATATGTTGAATGAACCTAGTCATGTTAGAAAACCTGATGTAGTTTTGATAAATGCTGATATTTCCAATGATCCTTTACTGTGCAATGACATTCTTAATAAATTCCAGGAAACTAAATCAGAAGAGTCGAGTCTTGATATCATACCAAATATTATTTGTCGTCATAATGCATTTGTTTCTTTTGGGAAACTTGTTCAGTGCGAAACACAAGTACTAAATAACCTCGATTTTGATTGCAATTCGGATGATTTCATATCAACTGCTGTTTATCCTTATCACAAAAACACTTCCAATACTTGCTTTAACCAATGTGAGAAATATATTTTAAATGAAGCCACATCATTAATAACTTGAGGATATAAAGATCCAACATTATTTCGTGGAGAGGGTAGTCTAAAAGTATATGGTTCAAATTCTAGGTAGCAGCGGTTTCAGTACACAACCGACATGCCGATTACACAATCCCAGGAAACAGGTGAGTCTGTTCCGATTTCGTTGTTAATTCTAATACTAATGAGCGCATTCTAGATGATAAGGAGCCCTTATCCAATACAATGTCGGACAGACACAGAATGAACTTGAGAAGAAGACGTACACTTGATTACAGACACCTAGGATCCAATTTAAGCTGTGGCGGATGTGGTGTTTGAATGAACTAATGATTCCTTTGTACTTGTTGAATGCTTGATTTCAAGTTCTAAATACAGTAGATTCGTTTGTGGTTATCTAGTACTTCTTGATTCGATTATGTATTTTCTACTGCCTATTTGTTCGTTTTTTTTTTTTTTTCAGTAAGTAACTTGTTGAAATACCCTGTGCTGAGAATTCTATATTGTACCAAAATATAATATTGAATAAAGCCATTAATAATAATAATAATAATAATAATGTTATTTCTGGGATTCTTAGTTCATACTATATTTCAAATACTTCTAAATGCCATATGGCCGCGATTATACAAACTAAAAGTGCATTCCGAATAGGATCGACCCGAAGTCAGTATATGCGGCTTGATTGTTCGCAAATTGATATAAAGTGCGGAAAACATAATCAAGAATGTTGCGATGGCAAACTCCAGGTTCGATCATTGTTGGGGTAGCATGAGGTACTTGATGTGTATTACCCGACTGTCAGGTCACTTCTCATCCTTCAGTATCTCAGCAACAATAATCATAGTTTGTGTGGTCGATCACAGAAGGGTCTGTTTTTTAATCTTTTAACCCATTTTGTTGCACATCTCTGTGGAGTTCATTGAAAGATTCGTGGTAACGGAAGGTTTGACGTTTAAAAAACTGGAGGGTCTCGCGAAGTTTCTAGACGGTTTACAGTGGATGTTGTTGTGGAGGCATGAACTAAGGTTTTCCGTTTCTCGCGAACTAGAAGCAGATGCTTTTCGTCACAGGTTGCTTTGTGGAGTTTTCAACCGTCAATGTTCATGCTGAAGGGTAGGAATGCGAGAGTATTACAGAGACATGTAGTTTCGGATAGGCCCAAAAATTCTAAACTCAAAAACTTTAGTTGCATGTTTTGACATAATAACAATAAAATGTATAAGTGTTGAAAAATATCTCGGTATACGAAAAGATATCCCATATACTATTACAACAAAGAACAGACTGAAAATATATCATTCAATGTAATAGATCACAACGATTTGGACCGTAACACCTTTATAAGGAAGGACTCCAAACCAAGCCAAAGTAAAAACTAACTTGATATATCTGATGCATTACCTTATATCATATGATAGAACGCAAGGCGTTCTTATAATAACGATTAAGAAATTACAGTTATCTTGCACCTTTCAGAGTTAAGCATCACCAAGGTCTTAGCAGGAGTGTTTAAAAAGCACGACTATATGAAGTAATATGGTCAATGAATGGAACTGTTAAGTCGAACAAGTGGTATCAGCCACATCAGTAAGCCTTTTCAAGGAGAAGACGAATCTTCACTAGAAAAAAAGGTCAGAGATTAACATATACCTACAGATCTAATATTTTGTAGATGGCTGATCGAGTGCCTTAAAGTGTGTTCAGTAAAACTGTTGTCAATACCAATGTCGAAGACTGGCAGAATTACATATTTTGCAGATTTACCTACCGTTAAAAATATGCCAAAGTCAATACTTGGGAAAATCAGTGGTACGAAAATCGGTTGGGAGAAAGGTTGTTAAATTCGATTCACAAATGTTTTGCGTCTTTGACATATTTCCATTACATAAGCTTATTCGCGCGCGATATAAATGTCTTGCTGAAGGTGGCTTGCCTATTGCTCTCGCAGTTGTGTTCTTTTAAGTTTCTGGAAATAGTAGGTACCTATATTCTGAATACAATTTAGTTTCAAAAGTACCAAATACTTTTTCCTCATCAAGTATGTATATATTTGTCGTAGCACTATTTTTAAGTTTTTAATGACTGAACCCATCTCCCAGGTTTAGGGAAATCCTTAAAGTTATTTGACCTTTACCAAGGTTAAAAGGAAACTCCCCCAGGTCTCGGGGAAGTTTAGGGGTTTTAGTGCCATTTCCCAAAGTATACTATACCGGCTTTCCCACAAATCCGGAGCCCGGGAAGAAAACCTCGAAATTTCACTAAGTTCAGAAGATTAGTGGTTTAATATAACACAAATCCTAACTCAAGTTCTATTATTAGTCTATACATCTCGTTTATCCTCGCTGTTGTTAATGCTTGTTCTTTGAAGATTAGTATTATAAAATCCTCACGTGTTCAGCTGAGCACGGTACTCAAGCACTTTGAGTATGCAGACTAAATGTTTATTAATGTAGGATAGGCAATATGTTAATGATCCTTATCTACTGACTAACTCGACGCGCAATTGCAAATGGTGTAAGTTTAGGTTAAAAGAAAGTATGGGGCACCAGTCCATGCAAACATCAACTGTTGAACTTAGACATCTAGGTAGGTGGAGGCTACCTGCTGTGGTTCACAAGGTCATCATAACCAATGATCGGAGACTTAGTGACATGGCTCAGATACTCTTTGTCTTCCCTTAGGTCTACGGTTCCTAACTTACCGTACAAATTTGTCTTTTTGCCACTAGTGCATCGATCGACGTCTTATATTTTGTGTTGGCACAGCTATTGTAACTACCTCTATTCTTGTAAGGATGGTCCTGAAAATTTTATCACGCTGAATTACTAGAGTTCGTCAGCTAGAACTAATGTATGCATTTGAGAGGATCTATGTTGAATATGACTGACTATACCTTTTATGTTGGCAGTATGTGTACTTTTGTAGTAGACCACCATCACTAACCTTAGACTTATTTAATGCTTTTCTAAGCAACGTTAGAAACTAATATTACCCTCAGTAGTATAATGCGTTCAAAGTGGTGAATGGTTCAGTAAGCCCGTTTTTATTTCTTTTGTTTCTAGTTGCACTTTATTATTGATTGAATAATAAATCAACAAATAGTATCAATTCCTCTGACTAGGTAATGAATGTTAATAGTAGTAATAGAATGTCTTACCAAGTACATAAATGTATGAGTGCTGTGATGTATTCGAAGCGAAATCTGATTTGGAGACCAGTCTCCTATCTGAAGATTCCGTAATCTGAGCACTTGCATTTGTGCATTTTTAATATTGAAATGTAACACTATTCTTCGTTTCTAGGGTATGATTTGCTCAAAACACACTTCTAGTAAGTCTCGATTACTTCTATTTGCAGATTTGTTCCATAATGTGTTGCGCTGGGCTTCCAGTCAGGCGGTTTTCAATAGTACAAATATACCAGACTTAAAAGGACCAAGGTCTTTAAATGCTGTTGCCGAGAAAACTCCACAACCAAATATGTAATTCTTATATTTCAGCCTGACTGAATAAAGTTTGGGCCATCATGTTATTACAGAGGAATGTTTGACTTCATTAGTGGAAGATAAACAATATTACGAAACCCCCATTCTTCATTTGCTCTCACGAAGAAACAACGTGATTGCAACACTAACTGATTGTAATGGACGAGTTCTGAATGGCACTAGTTGTGGTGCTGAAGGTTTCCGGAACGCTCGTAAAATGTCTACTGTTGCTTTTCAAACTGTGGGTATCTCCATAGGACTGAAGGCGAAAAAACTTGGGATTGGAGCTGTGCGTGTTGTATTTAATGGGCTAGGGTCATGTAGGTTGGTAAGTATTTCCTTGCGTTTTGGTTAATCTAATAGCCTGTGCTCTCAGGTTTGAATATCTCGGGACTAAAGATGATCTCTTTGACGGATGATACAAAAGTTCATTATGGCCATGGGAGAAGACCTAGAAAACAACGTAGGATTTAAAAGGAACTTTCGCATCCCTCCTAATGTAATCATAGTAGTGGGAGTGTACATAATATAAACCCTAAATTTCAGCCTATTTATTTGTGCGTCTTCTGTGTGTAGTTGCAAATTACTTTTCAAGTTTGTGTTAATGAAACGTTGAGAAATTCTATTTACTGGTCGGAATGTTAGTCAAACTGTCACATTTGATGTTAAAATGCATCACTCCTAATGAAGATGTGTATCTTATCGGAACTCCCAAAAATTTGTAGAAACTCAAGGCAATTAAAAAAGACGCTTAATTAGTTCCCTGTCTTAAGTTCTTCCCAATAAAAGTTAACGTGAACTACCAAATAATTGTATTACTAATTGCCGTATACTTGGGCTATGTGAGTATTGAAGAGTCCCTTGAAATGCCGCCGGTCACTTGTTATTACTTCAATTTTACTGAGGCCCAACTATTATATGTACTAATTGCTTCGAAAATTACATGAACACGTGAGAAAAAGTTAAATCAAACAAAATTCGCAGTCGCATCATGGAACAATGGTTTGTGTAAATGCAATTGCACTCAGAAAATTTCAAATGAAGCGCGGTAACCAGCCCCATATCTTTTACATTTTGAGAGTACTATCTGCACATTCTATTTCGGTTAAAGATCGTACTAGTCTTGGATACAAAATAGTAACGTTTATTGCAAGTTACATAACTTAGTTTCGGTACTAAGCATATGTTTCCAAGTTGTGGTTCAAGTTGACATTCTGAGATCTGATTAAGCTTCCGACACTGAAAATATGCAGGGTCAGAAGTTAATTAATAATTATACTAAAGAGATCAATAAAATCGGTTATTGACACTAGGGATAAATCTATCTGTTATATATTCAAAAACGTTTATTCGATGGTAGTATTTATTTGATCTTAAATCAATTACTGCATTAAGTGATGCAATCACGCTAAGTATGATTGCATCTAACCTTTCCTTAACCTACTGTCTTGGAGAGAAACATCAGGGCATTCATTCTGATGAAAGCTACTGGTAGGTTCACGCATGAGTTCCTTCGAATTACGAGTTTATGTGCTCTAGTGATTTGGAATCCTAGATCACCATTTTTAGGCACGCTCTCCGTATCCATCAACACAGTTGGGACTTAAGATACACAACCCCGCCTTATTACTTTCACCACTCGAAGATAAGCCCTATTGTGTAGGGAATTATTGACAAGACATTACAAAAGCTGTGGAAACAGCAGCAGTTTCTCTTGGCACTTTAAACCAAAAGATTACAAATCAGCGGCGTCTGCTGAACTAACTGATAGTTGCTCTAAAACTCCCATCTAGTTGCGAATGTGAGAAGCGGAGGCAGCTCAAACGTAAGCTGACAATTAGCCTACACAGTGACCGTGGGTAGTGGTGAATAGCGAGTGCAGAGGAGATGGGAGGCAGCAACGATGAGTGATACTAGACAACTGTTCATAATTGTCAAAGAATGTTATTAGGAATCTAGCTATTATTTAGACTATCTCGGAGAAAGTAAGGACTATTATTTACTTTTAGTCCAGGGGATCGGACTGGTGAGGAGCAGTTAGACTAGCTAAAATCTGGGGACTGGACGCGATCTTATCTAACTGGTGTCGATTGCTGGTTGTTCCAATCTTTAAGCAAAGATAAAAATCGTCTTACGACAATCACGGATGAGTCAGGTTAATTAATGTAGTGTCTAAAATATTAGCTTCAGTAATACTTTGACACCTAACTAGAGATCATAAAGAACAAACCCGAAATCAGCTGGTTTAAGATTTGCGTGTGTATATACACTGTCAATTTCTGGAACGTAGACATACTGTCCACCGTCCCGTTAGTTTTATTAACCTACGCTGGGACAGCGTTCGATCTCGTTGAACGTGAGGTTATGTGACGCACTGGAAGGAATACAAGACAATCACACTAACATTGTATAGGTCTTCTACACGAACAATGCTGATAGATTCAAGGCTTATAACGAAACCTAATCGGGACTGGTTATTGCGCAACAGTTCGCTCCGTTCTATTTTGTGGACGCGAAACATGGCCGGTAAGAGTAGAGGATATCTGCATTCGGTCGTGGGTTCTTTCTAAGTACTGCTCGCGTATTTCGCAACCACAGAGTAAACAATCCCTAGGCTACGAATAGAGTACTAGATAAAGATGGGAAGTAGATCGATGAGGTAGTGAATCTTCATCAAATGAGTTACCTGAAACATGTGTTACGTATGCCCAAGCACTGCCTACCTCGACTGCCGATGTAGTCTTGTGCTGCAGTAGATTAGAAGACAGCTAGAAATAGGCAAAGCAAAATGTAGTATTAGTCCAAGGTGTCTGTGAAAACTAGACCGGGCCATAGTGACAGATGTAGACCACCAGGGGTCCGTATGATTGTTGTAACTAGTGGTTGCAGGCGCATCCGTCATTTATCTTCCCCGAACTCTGACTAAATTTCCCTTAACTTTTTATTATTTATATTTTCCCGAGTCCTACCTTAGATGCCTAATCTCTCATATTACCACTGTTACTGTCGCTACCTCTTTTCCAAGATTTGGCCTGACAGATCCATCTCCACCGTAACGGAGTGTGGTAACTTGAACCCAAATTCACTAAAGCTATTTTCCTCGAATCGGTAAATGGGTACATGTCTAATTCCGAAAAGTCGCACGAACCTCGAATGATTTACCATCTTTTTTTAGTCTTTTTATAATTTTCAGTCAAGAGAGACCCCGTGCACGGGAGATTCGGTACAAAAATTGTGAACCACAAAAACCGATACTACTGGGTCACAGTTACATCAAGTGGTTAAGCACTAAGAAGTGTCGATCGTGAAGTTTTAAGTTATGATCCTTCTACGTCGTACTATGTGATACCCATAACTCAAGATTACTATGCATAAGCACATTCCAAGCTAAACACTAAGTACACCACAATACGCTCATCCAACATAAACAAAGGTACATCTAAGATCAGTTGTACTACCAATGGGGCTGTGGATTTGATAGGTGAATAATCAGTTACGATAATATTACAGATATATATTTATTAGAGTCGAGAAAGGTGTGTGAAGAACCTTTACCAGTAAATGTCAAAGTCCCACAGTGCACGACGAACTCATGTCACACATAAGTAGCCCTTTGCAATATGTAAGATAGTAACCATAGCCCATAAACTTTATTGCGCATATTCGATAAAAACAAACTAACAGAAAGTTATGTTTGGTTGTAAATCTAATAAGAAGACACATCATTTTCCCCACATATCGTTACATCCATATTCATTGTATAATCTCGCTGAGTATCAGTTTGTTCGTAATTCTTATGTGGGAAACTGTAACCTAAATAGCAAAATGTGAAAGCAGTAAAGAAAATTAAATGTTACGGGATGCAGAAAATGCTATTAAAATAGTTATGTCAACTTAATTGTTCTATTCACTATGAAAACGTTACGCCGTAATCACATTTTGACCATGAGCTCTAGAATTTTGACAGTAAATGTCTGGCCTCACTTTTATTTGTAGTCTCACATATATAAGTGACGTCCTCTGATTAGGCTTAGAGAACTAGACAACATGGCCTAACAGTATGTTTCAAATGCAGTGCGACTGCCTCGTGACAACGTAGTTACTTGGCTTCGAATCCTCAGTTTATTTAAAGTCCAGATTAAAAGGTTATTGCGCATACACCATGATAATTCAAGCAATATTTTAGCATCCCACTCATTCAGTACGGTTAGTTAGAAAGTTTATCAATGGCGAAGCTTGCTCGCTGATTTTCTCCTTTAAACACGTTTATCGAAAACGGATGGGTAGCGTACATGTTTAACGTTTCGAAAGGATTTACAAAACTTTGCATAACAACGTTAAAGCAAACTATTTAAATAAATAAGAAGTAAGAGATACGAAAAAACTAAAGAGTAATATATTAAACAAGATCGAAGTTAGGTTCCTGAGAATTCAGTTAACACAGAATGTATAAATGTTTAGTGCAACATATAATTATAGTAGGACGGTTAAGGCTTCAGAATCATACTTTTTACACCATATGCAGCGATTTCTGCGATACATTTATTTCTCTCGTCAGCCTAACGATGTTTCGTAACAACTTTAAAGCTCAAGTGAGACTTGAATTAGTAAAATCTTATTAGGAAGGGTGCTCTTTTTGTTTACTCTCCAAATGCATGTGATGCAATTTTAACTACGGAGTGGCGACCTAGGGATGTTTAGCATGAGCTGGGTGTAGGACATTGGTAAGACCAAGCGTTCGTAACAAAAGGTTTATCATATACAGAGCCAAAGATGTTGAGTCCCATACAGATGATACTTAACAAATTGACACCAAGAGTTTGGGTATTTAGAGATTTGCGTGTTAGCAGCTAGTGTCCTCAGTTTCAACTCTCCAAACAGATTTCTATAATTACTGAGTGTGGTTTGAGTATCTATGAATCTAACAATCCTAGTAAATTAATTGTAAGGCTTGTAAAATGTTCTTAACAAACATTCTACATGGATGATAGTACTCACTTTCTTTTCTTACAAGCGATGAAATCACACTAGTATCAAGTGCAGACACGCGTAAGCGACTTGCATCCAAAACATTACATCCCTGAAATTGAGTATCTATATCACTCGACAAATTAAGTTGTTCGTCGGATGAAGTGTTTGACTGGTGAGTTTTCGGAATAATCGCAGGAATCTCATCTTTTCCCGCAATGCATACATTTTTGGGGGAAGATATCCTTGTTTCTTCACTTTCTACCTGTATGTTTATGTAAGAAACTGAATTACAACTTACTGCTGATGCACTAAGTGCATTTTTTAGTGTTTCCACAAGAGACATGTTGTAGGAACTAGATATTTCTTCGGCCCTAGTAGACGTAGTAAAGAGAATCTTGACAACTTACATTTCCCTTATCACGTCAGGGATCGCTGTTGGGAGTTTAGGGGTTAAAGAAGGGGCTACTTACCGGTCAACTTAAAGTTTTCAGCGCATTTCGCTTTCCACAACTCGATAAAGGCATGTAGCTTTTCATTTTGTGTTATATGTCGGTTGTAATCATCCAGCCTTTGTTTGTATTCCAGGATAAAGTCAGTTCTTTCTTTCCTAATGTACAGAAACTATTCATTTATTCAAGAGATGTCTCATTAAAATATATGTCATGAAACAGGATGCTTCCAATACAAAAATATCTGCCTGATAATAATCACGCAAAAAAACACATAAAATTGTCTGTCCTGCACCATGTTGACTGGACTATGTTGAATCAGACCCAGCATCCGGTCATTTACACGATCGAACTGAGAAGTCCTTGTTGCTTTGTCA